GGGAGTGCCTGCACCCATGGAAGGGCCATGAGTTGCCAGACACACCAGAGCCCTGCTGCGAGGAGGGGAAGGGGTCAGCGAGGGACAGGCTGGCAGCGGCAGGAACAGGGCCCTGGCAGAGCCATGCACCATGGGAGGTGGATGCAGCCCATCCTTCCCAGCACTACCCACATGGCCGATGTCAGTGCTGCTCTCGGTGCAAGCACAAGGCCCTGCACTGCTCCCGGGGACGCCGGTCCACTGCGCTCTGCCGCAGCCCTGCCCACGGAGGAGCAGGACAGCTGGTCCTGGGGAACTGGGCCCACCCCAGCGAGCGAGCTGCCCTTGAACAGACAGTGGCAGAGCGTGCTTGCCATCACACTGCTCCTGTGCCGCCACGGCCAGGGAACAGCCCAGCATCCTCCGGCAGTCATGGATGTTTTTGGCACAATCTGCACAACAGCCTGCAGAAGTGCCAGCAGTCTCCCAGCTGACTGTCCCGTCTTCCCCTTGGTGACTGTGGCGTGCCCAAGGCCTCGCTGACTTGCCAGGGCAGCGCAGAGGAAGGCACTTCCTGCTTTGTCTGGACCTCAGAGCGCCACGGGATGACAGCAGGGCCTTGAGGAAGGGCACATGGGAACACAAACCTCCTGTCCCTCCCAAATATTTCAAAGGTGTCTACATCCTGTTCTTTGAAGTACAGCAAAATCCCAGGAAGGGCTGTAGCAGAGAGACAGCACCCAAAAGTAGTAATAAACACTCTATTTGGAGAGCTTCACCTTAGGGAAACAGCAGATACATAAACACTGTGTACAGGGGAAGGGAAAACTGTCAGTGCACAGACAGGAGTGACACACTGGACTGGGCAGTGCTGGAAATGGATCCCTCTTGGTGTCGATGCATAGCACATCTAGCAGGCACCTGCCCTGGTACAGCAGGAGGAGAGCTAAGCAGCAGAGATCAGAGTTGGAGGCCATCAGGGCTATCAGGCGCACAATGCTTCCTTCGGTTCATCACAATTTTCTGCTCATTGATCAGCTCGCAAGGTTTAAAAGGACTCCCTCTGTAGCAGAAGACTAAGGTCAGACCTCAGCAGTGGAGCAAGACCGGGAAACATTAGGAAGGCAAACCCAGACCAGCAGGAGCCTGTCCTACGGGAAGATGGCAGATTCTGTGCAGTGTGAAAAAAAAGTTCGTGCACAGCCTGGAGTGGGAAGGCAAGGCACTCACTCCAAGCACTGAGATTAGCAACCAGCTCGCTCTCTCCTTGCTTAACCTGACCAGCACACACACGGGATTTTGGAAGTGCCTCTACAGCTCGGCCCTCAGCTCTGTGAGGGCACACAGCGCCAGGAGTGAAGGGCCTCAGACTGCCCTCCAGCAGCTATTGGGGCCATGCAACAGGTGAGGCTCCCAACCCACTCTGGCAGCACGGTGTGCCCGCAGCCATCACCCACACTCCTGCCAGCCCCACGGAGCCCCACCAGCCAGGAAAGTCCTCGGAGGGGCCACATCCATGTCCTTCTGCCCCACGGAAGAAAAACAGCAGGATGTTCCCCATGAACTAGCAAAGTCTCAGCTCCATGGAGGCACCAACGCTGGGACAGAGCCGTGGGGTGCCTGATTTGGAGCACTGGCACTGAATACGAGGCCAGTTCAATGCACGTGGCTCTTGCAGTGGGCTAGCAGAGAACAAGCAATGCCTTAGCTTAAGGCAAAACATCTAAAGAACTTGTCCAAAATGCACAGCAGGCTCAGATGCCTGCCCTTCCTTCTGGGGCCTTTTCTAACAGATCTAGTACATTAGCACCATGAAGAGACCATCAGTCTTAATTTCCAGGTTTGAAATATAGAACACCCCTTTTCCATGACAGTACAAATGTGTAAGAACTTTGAAGAGAGGGGCTGGGCAAGTAGTGGCTAATGAAGGACTAACAAAGGCAGGTTTCCAAGGGATTTGTAGCTTTTTAGTCAGATAATAATTTGACCAAGTTACACCATAGTTTTCTGCTGCATCTAGATTTATTCCCTCTCTTTTTCCCTTAAAACCCTCCTTCCCTACAGTATTTTGAGGGCAGTAGGGAAAATGCTACACTTCCATGCAGACCCTGACAGAATTAGAGATGAACTCACTCTGCTCTACTTTCCTCTGCTGACTGCATTCAGATCTTTGAGATCTCCACCGCTGCCAAGTTTGGCTGAGATTGCAAAGTTACAGGGGGTAAACACACACACGGTGAATGATCATATACACCTGTTTCCATAGGAAACCAGGCTAAGCAGTTACTTCCTTCCATGTGGAAATCCTCAGAGCAGAGGGCTGAGCTGTCTGGAGAGCCAGGAGCTCTAACCCCTCTTGCAGCCCTCCACTCCCACCAGCAGCAGTCTGCACACCAGAAGCTGTAACTACTTGTTAGACCCAAATAACCCAGCTCCAGAACCAATGGCTGTGGTACTGCAAAAGGCTCTGATGGCAATCAGTGGCTCACGAAATTCTGCACACAAACCTGACCGGAGGAGGCACAGAAAGAAGTGCCATGCTGGTTATTTCCTATTTTAGGCCTGTACAAAGCCAGGCAACCTGTACCGTGTCCCATCCATGCTGCATAAGCATGGCTTGTTATGGTCTAGGAGCTCTCCTCCAGCAAAAGCCACCTCTGAGCATGGCATACTGGCCCTCCAGGTGCAGGAATCCATTATTTGCTCTGGTGAGGGAGGAGGTGGCCACTACCAGCCTGTTGCCAAACCCTCCTTATACCAGAATCACACTTCCTCTCACGCCGCACCCACCTTCACAGGAAGCAATTACACAATGAAAACTACTCTAAGGGAGTGAAGTATTTGCTGTCTAGCAAGTCTCTTCCAGCTGGATCCTTTTTGACAGATTCAGTCCCCGTTCTGCTCAATGGGTGCATACAGGAGGGTAGGGCTTTGCTTATCCAGAGGGATAATGAAACCATTGTGGGCTGGCAAAGGATGTGCGTTCTTGGGCCACCAACAACTCCAAAAGCAGTGCTGCAATTTGCTCTAGAAGTCTTGGCTGAAATAACTGTAGCCTCCTGGGGCAGTTGACTCTTCCCGGACATACTGCTGTGGTGGGAACGCTCCGACAACCGCTACTGCTCCTGGCATCCTGGACATCGAAGGGAGCAAGAGGAAGAAAAGGGAAAAAAAGGAGACAATGTCAGAAGTGCTCTGAAATCTGCCAGCTGCAATTGGTGCTCAGCAGGCATGGCTGTCAGTGCAGCAACAGCCTATTGTAGCCAAGTCAACAACTTGCCAGAAAAGCTTCCAAGTACATCTTTGCCCGCCGTGCCTGTGTGTAAACAGACACCTTTAGCATGGCAGAATTAGCTATTGTACAGCTCAAGGACTGGTAAAGAGCTTCCATAAAAAAGCCAGTATCCTGCCTCTCTTCAGACTGCAGAAGCTGGCCTGGAACAGGACTGAATGGCTGAATCCAGAAACAGCTTTCAGAAAGGGGCTGCAAAAACTTGGACAATGTCCATGTCCTTAAAGGGAAAATTTACACGTGTGTGTTGGGAACATCCTCAATGTTACCTATCTAGAACGGGATACTTGCTGTTCACTGATCCAGTTGTGCTGTTCAAGAGACAAAACTTTCCTGGGATGATGGATGGAGCATGTGTCTTCCAACCAAGTACTCCAGAGAGCCAAGGGACCATGGGCCTGTTATTCCAAAGACAGGCAACAAGATATCCCAGTTTTCCTCCTGTCTCCTCTGAGAAATTTGGCTAGGAGTCTGTCCTCACTTCAGGTAGGGTTTCCTAATACCGTGTTCTTCTAAGAAGCTCTCTAACCAACCCAGGCTCATTACCGAGCCTCTTTTAGCAAAGGCTTTGAAATCAGAGATCTGAACTTTGACAGTGTCCAAACAAAGTATTTTTTGTATTAATTATCTGGCATCCTAAGTTTTCCACATTAATAATATATGCAGGGGATGCCATTATTTAACTCACCAGCTGTGAGAGCAAGTTCAGGAATATAGTCTAAGTTTCTGGTGTGTGCTGACTACATGCCAAATTTTAAGACAAGCAGCCCCAAGAGAGATTAGAACAGCAAGAAGATCTCCACTGAGCCAGTCTTAAATTAAATTAAAATCTCAGTTGTTAGAGAAACAGTGTTTAATGGGTGTCAGGCTGGACGCACTCACTGCAAAGGTCCACACCGAGCTGAACTATCGAGAACTAAAAGCAACTGCAGGGCACTTCTACTTCAGCAGCATCCCAGAGCTGTCTGCAGAGGGAGCTGCCGAAGCGAATCGGCTTCAGGACAGAGAAAGCTTGCACAAACCCTGTTGTTCTGCTTGCAAGTCAGCTGGAAATACGCATTGAAAACTACATTTTAAGTTACACTTAAGCCATCGATTTGAACAGCGAGGCTGGAAACACAGACAAAAATGTTACTTACTGATTCTTGTGTTTGAAGCCACTGATGTGAGCTTGGTACTGCTCTATGGAGTTCAGTACTATGTTACATGTGCTGCAGGGGTACCCCTTCCCAGCTGAAACAGACATCAATGTTAGCACACACAGCTAGCCAACAACTTGGTGCCTGAGGTAGAAACAAGTGAGATAATCAATCACTTGATGTGTTAAACAACTGCTAAACAAAGTCAGATAGCAAGTCAATAGCCTGACAAAGGTGGGGAGGTCGCAGAATCTCACTACCCCACCACATATCAGTCAGTCACTGCAAGGGAATCACTAAGCCAGAAAAGCTGTCCTGGTCAGAACATGGGTCTGTTTATCTATAAAAACAAAGACACATTTCCTATAACAGTTCATGGTATCAGACATAGCAAAAGTTTCAGCATTAGGACATCAAATCTGATGTTACACTGCCTTTCCAACTGTACTCTCTCCCAAATTCCCACTTCTCCTGATCTGTACATCTCAAAACAGAAAATGAGGGAGAGAGTTCATTTGTAAGCTCACAGTGTTTCAATTAAAAAAGCAGACAGAGGAGATTACACACAATGTCCGGTTCCACAATGCAGCATTCTGCTAAGCCTTGCTGAGGTGCCAACTGAGAATATTAAGCTCTATCCTCAAGCAGTTTGGGTACAGTCAGTGTATCAGTTAACTGCCAAAAAAAAAAAGTTTCCAACAATAGTTGTACTCGACAGATCAATGGTTTTGTGTAACGAGACAACTCCAGCTGGAATGAAAGTTCGGGAGGTCACAGATACCAAAGAGGCAAGTATGGCAGCACAGCTCTGCACAGGGGACTCTAACAGGGGAAAATCCTGGCGGTTAAGTGCTTCTGAATTTTGGCTCGCTGGGGAAGGGCTCTGCCTGGGAGTCTCACAAAGAAAACGTTTCCTTAAGGTGAAAGAGGACACTCACCCCAGGGGTGCAGAGCAGCATCATTGCTGGGTGAGAAGCACAAGACATGATGTAGCAGACATTTCCCCAGCTGGCTGCTGCACCTCAGAGAGATTTCAGACTCTAGTGGGACATTCAACTCTCAAAACAGAGCTGGACATGGGCGGGAAAGGCCAGAGGAGCTGTTACAGCCCTCAGGTCTGCCTACCTGCACAATCGAGGTCAAGATCTTTCTGTTGCAAATTTGGCAAACAGGCGTGTGCACAAAGTTGTCCAAACTGCACTCCTGCACCCCAAACCAGTGGTTCCTAGAGGAACTTTAAGCTGACACACACCTCAGTGTTGCACTGCAAAGAACGCGTCTTTACCTGCTGCCAGCCAGATCCCAGCAGAAAGAAGTTTAGAGACAGGCATGGTTGTTAGCACACAGAGAGGGGCAAAGAGGGCAGGAGAAAACATCCCTGACTGCAGCCCATCACATCTGAGCAGCCCCTGGTTACAACCCAGGCTCCGAAACCTCACCTGAACAGCTTAAGTGCTATGGAGACATGTCTGTAATTACTCCAGTTCTGCTGGCACCTCACAAGAGACATCAACCACGCAGGCAAGGGCACAGCCCACCTACCCAGCCTGCCTGGGCTGGGGCTCCTGCCACTGTCAGTGCCCAAGTCACACTGAAGTGGAACTATTCATCAGGTCCCACTAATTAGGTAAAGAGCAGATGGGCAACGTTAAATATCAAGCACCTTTTCCATCTTCCACATGACTAATAATGTGGGAGAGAATATTACTTGGATAATTCAGCCTCATTTCTCATAAGTACATAAGTGCTATCGGTATCTAAAGGTGGCCTGCAAAGAATTAGAATAATTAATCTTCTGCTTGTGTGGGTTTTTACAACAGAGAAAGGAGTCTTTGAAGAAGATTTTTAAGATGATTTGTCTGCTTATTATTTACCTCAAGCATCCAGCAGGTACTAGACTTCCTGGTCCAACAGAAGGCTGCTGGGAGGAATAAGGGAATTTACCGTGAGCTCCTAATGCTTTCACTGGACTCGAAAGGCTTTCATCACATGGAAGTGCTCATAAGCAGCAGATCTTAAACAAAATGAGTTTTAACTGTCTACCTAAAGTTCCTCCTTAATAGCTCTTTTTTTTTTTTTTTTCCACATTCCTGCCTGTTCCAGAAGGTTTCACAGTG